ACACACACACACACACACACACACACACACACACACACACACACACCAGAAACACCATGGGAACCGCTGTGTGGGAGAGGGAACATCTTTGAGGAAGAAGTTCAAAGCCGACAGAGCAAAGGTTGGCCGTTGGTAGTGGTTGACTTACTGTTGATTTTGGAGATCTTCCAGACTTTATCAGGGACGGTCTGTTTATGAATCTCAAACTTGAAGGGGTCTGTATTGGGGTGAAGATCCTTGTCTGTAGCTCCCAAAATGACCACACTGAGGTTTTTGGCGTCATCACAGACTTCAGCCACCGTTGGGTAAATGAAGGGAGCGTTGTCATTGACGTCCTCCAGGGTTATCAGCAGGGTCCCAGTACCTGTCGCAGGAGGGTTGCCTGTGGGAAAAGGAGGCACTGGTGAACCACTGGTGTGGCAGATCGGTCTACCAGGGCACCTCCTGTGATCAACACCCGGTGCGTAGTGTGTTCATTATTTAGTAACAGTTTCAGCTGGGTTGACAGTAAAAAATGGCACTTTTGCCTGGACTGCCCTTGAACTTGTGATGCTCCTGCCTCAGCTTTCTGAGTGCTGGCATCGCAGGCATGTGTAACTAGCCACACATGCAAGGCAAGTACTTTACAACTGAGTCACATCTCCACTCAGACCTTGGGTATTGGAGATAGTGTCTTACTCTGTAGCTCAGTTTGGCCTCCAAGTGACAATCTTCTTGCCTGACCCTTCTGAGTACTAGGATTATAGACATGTCACCAAACTTGGTTTCCAGTGGACACTAAGAAAAATTAGAGCCAATTTGTAGGTCACAAGTTGTAGGCATCTACATTTCCTCTATTTCCCTAAGGATACAATGTACCTCTTAAATCACAGTACTTTACTGATGGTCTCTAAATGATGGTGGTTTGACAATTTAAAAATAATTTTAAAATTTTAAAATAATTATGTGTGTGTGTGTGTGTGTGTGTGTGTGTGTGTGTGTGTTTGCATGTCTGTGTGCGTGTGTATGTACTTGTGCAGGTCAGAGGAGTTAGTTCTTTCCTTCTACCTTGTGGATTCAAACCTAAGGCATTGAACTTAGGTTATCAAACTTGGCAGCAAGTGCCTTTAGCTTCTCAGCCATCTACCACCAGCAGTTTTAAAGGGAGTTGTGGAGGCTGGAGAGATGGCTCAGTGGTTAAGAGCACTGGCTGCTCTTCCAGAAGACCCAGGTTCTATTTCCAGTACCCACATGGTGGCTCACAACTCTATCTATAACTATTTCTGAGGGATCCATCACCCTCTTCTGGCCTCCTTGGGCACTGCATGCACATGATGTACAGAGATACATGTAGGCAAAACAACCATACACATAAAGATAAATGTTTTTTTTTTCCCTTAAAGGGGGTTGTGGAGCAACCTGACCTCACACATTGTTAGGAAACACACAGCTGTATGGATAGGAGATGCTGGGTGCCGTTGGCAGGGAGTCTCCACAGCAGATTAAGAGGTGGGCAGTTTTCACAAGGAAAATATCTTGTCCTGGTGAATAGGGGCTCAAGTGAGGCCACTGGAGGAAGAGCAGAGGCTACTAAGGGACCACAGGTCCAGCTCTGATTGTGCTGATGATCCCTCAAACTAAACACGCTGTGCAGAAATGCAGGGTTCAGGACAAATGCTGGAGCTTTTAGAAGCCTTTCTGGAAAATTAGAATGCTCGAGGGCTGACTCTAATCGTAAGGATCCTGAAACTTAAAGACAGATGATGGCTTTGGAGAAAACAGGGGAGATGAACTGCAAGATAAGAAACTGATCTGGGAGGCTGAGGCAGGAGGATCGGGGGTTTTTACTGCTGTGATAAAACACCATGACCAAAATCAACTTGGGAGGAAAGAGTTATTTCATTTTAAAGTTATTGAGGAAGTCGGGGCTGGATCCTGCAGGCAGGAGCTGATGCAGAGGCATGGAGGAATACTGCTTATTGGCTTGCTCCTTATGGCTTGCTCAGCCTTCTTTCTTACAGCATCCAGGACTACCTGCCCAGGGATGGTACCACCCTCAATGGGCTGATCCCTTCCACATCAACCATCAATAAAAACAAAACAAAACAAACAAACAAACAAACAACGCACCCCAGGCCAATCTGGTGGGAGCATTTTCTCCATAGAGATTCCTTCCTCTCAGATGACTCTAGCTTGTGTCTAATGGTGAATCTGAGACCTGCCTGGGCTACAGAGTGAGCCCCTGTTTCAATAGACCCCATCCATAAGAAAAAGAAACCAAAATCAAATGAAATCCCAAATCAAAAAACAAGAAAAAAAGCAGTGAGATTTTGCAAGGAGAATGTCCCAGGCATGCCTTGCTTTGTTTTGTTTTGCTTTTTTCATTAATGGGGGAGAAATCAGCTTGAAGGGAGATGAAGAGTGGGTTCTGAGCAATGAGAATGGAGAGCCCTTCCCGGACCGCTGGGAATTGAAATGTATCAACACCCAAAGATGGATGCAGAATGAACATTCAAACAAACACGCATGGAAGAGGAAGACTGTGATTAATCATCAGGGAGGGCTCTTCGTAACGGGGCGCAGTGCTAACTTTGGTTAGAACAACAACTCCAAAGAAATGCATAATTACTTCACAGCCAGTTTTTCACTGTCAGCTCTAGCCATTTGGCTAAATTTCTTTGTTGAAAAATCACTTTTCTCTTTTTATTGAACTAATTGAATATCTCAGAAGAATCCATTATATATATATATTTTCCCCCCTGCTCTGAATATATTATGAAGTAAAGTCGTTTGGGTAGAATGGATGAGAAGACATTACGGGTGTTTGAAATATGGCCAGAAGAATTGGCCTCTTGTGAACTTAATTACAGGACTGTCTTCAATTTCCCATGTGTTATTGCCCAGCCAGCTGGCAACGTCTTTTTCTAAGTCAGTAGAAGGAGCTTGTTTCTTTGGATGAGAGGAAAAGGCCGGGTGAGCCAAAATCCTTTCGGCAAGCTCTATCCTGCTTCCCTAGTTCAAGTTATTTTAAATCCATTGTGTTTTATTTATTACTTTATGCGTGTGCGTGCGTGCATGTGTGTGTGTGTGCGTGTGCGTGTGCGTGTGCGTGTGCGTGTGTGTGTGTGTGTGTGTGTGTGTGTACCTGTACTGGAGCTATGGCACCTATGGAGGTCAGAGGTCAACTTTTGACAGCTGGCTCTCTCTTTCCACTGTGGTTTCTGGGGACTGACCTCAGGCGGTCAGGCTTGCATGACAAAGGCCTTTACCTGCTAAGCTGCCTTGCCATTCTCTTCCCTCGTTTGTAGGTCTAGGAAGGAGAGAAGTTACATGCAAAGCTCAGAGATAAATGCAAGGCTCTTCCCAAGGCTGTTTGGCTCCAGGAATAACCGCAAGTCCTGGGGCTTCTGGGTATTTTCTAGACATTTAGCCCCTGGTTTTTTTTTTTTTTTTTTTTTTTTTTTTTTTTTGTTTGTTTGTTTGTTTGTTTCTCTTTCTCATCAGCAGCCTCCAGTGCCCATGGGACTGCTCTGTGACAAATCTAAGAACTCAAGCTTGGTTAGGACAGTGCTTCTTTTTCATGGACTTTCCATTTCAATAGAAAAAAGCCTCAGTTTGAGCCATCCACCCAGAACACGTGTATGGCAGACCAGTAACGTGCCAGTTACCCGGGATATGTGGAAGGCTGATCAGCAATGAGCAGAGAATCCTGCACACGTGTGTAGTAGACCAGAAAGGAGCCGACCACTCAGATAGACTGTGACTGACCCTTACTTGTTCAGTTCTCGTGGAGGAAGCCCATGGCTACATTCTCAGGAAAGGTCTGAGGAAGTCCCAGCCCTGAATGTGGTGTGGGGCTCTTGCTGGGTGTGTAGGGGCGGCTTTGGGACTGATTGAGTGGAGAGCTGCAAGGACCTCTGAGATAGGACCCATTCCGGTCCTCACTGTGGTGGTAGGGAACCCAGTGAAGGTCACTGACGCCCATTCCGGAGGCACATGGCTGCTTCCACACGGAGGGCTCTACAGAGGCTGGCAGTGCTGAGCAGAGAGCCCAGCATGGGCTCCTCTGGACCTGTTGAGTTCAGGTCTCACCGGTGTGCAGTGTCTTCTTTTGATAAGCTGTTGTCCTTTATGTTTAAATTTGATTAATTAAACAACTAATTAATTAAATAGTGTTTTGTTCTCCTGAGAAGGTCTTTCTATGTATTCCAGGTTGGCATGGAATTTACTACACAGCTCAAGCTGGCCTTGAACTCATGATCCTTCTGCCTTAACCTCCGAGTGCTGGAATTACAGGTGTGCAGCACTATGCCTTTACTTTGCTTTAGTCTTTACTTCCTATGTCAGAATATTTATTATGTAGTTTGATTTTTTTTTTACAGGATCTCATTTCTACTAGGAAATCAAACAAAAATCTGCAAACTATGATTTGGGATTATCAAAAAGTTTATTTTTATTTATGTGTGGATATGTGCATGTATGCACAGGTGCCCATAGAAGCCAGATGAGGGCATTAGAACTCCTTAGAACTGGAGTTACAGGTTGAGTCTCCATGTGGGTGCTGGGAACTAGATTCTGGTCCTCTGGAAGAGCAGCCATTGCTCTTAGCTACTGAGCCATCTCTCCAGCGGCTCCCCATTACTCTTATCATTCATATCTTACTATTTTGAGCTATCATGTTACAGTATACTTACACTCACCACTTTTGTGTACAGCTCAGTGGCATTGAGAACATCCACACTGCCATGCATCAGGCTCCTCGGTGGTTAGAACTTCCTTACCTTTCCCCACTGAACCTCTGCCAGCAATTGAAGGGTGGACCCACACTATCCTCTCTGGATCCTGGCAGCACCACCCCACTTCTGCCTTTATGAGTCTGGATATTTTGAGTCCCTCGTGTAAGTGAAACCATTATCATTATTACTTACTTTATTTTCACTTCTGTGTATGTGTGTGTCTGTATATGAGCATATGCATATATGAAGGCAATACCCACAGAAGTCAGAAAAGAGCATCCTATCTCCTGAAGCTGGAGTTACAGGTGGTTGTGAACACCAAATATGGGTGCTGGCAATTGAACTCTGGTTCTCTTCAAAAGCAACAAGCATTCTTAACTGTTGGGCTGCCTCTCCAGCCTCCAAATCATTTCTTAAGCAACAACAATGGCACTTAACTAAGTCATTCTAAACATACTTGAGATTTTTAGCTTCCTGTTCCTACTGGCTAAATGATTGGCTGACAACATATTAGGGACCCAGACTGTGTCATAGTGTATGGTGATATTTTATTTGTGCTGAAATGTGATTTTATTTTGTATGTTAATAAATAAAGTTGCCTGGTGTGTGTGGGGGAGTCAGAGCTAATAGCAAGCCATAGCAGAAGCTGGACAGTGGTGGAGCACAC